TCAGTTAAATTTTTTCAAAATTTTATTAGATTTAGGGAAGCACAAGACCCTTGAACACTTACTGGGTCCTTAATAATATTAAAAAAAACAGTTTGTCAAAAGTATGTTATGTTGGGTCTATATATATATATATATATATATATATATATATATATATATATATATATATATATATATATATATATATATATATATATATATATATATATATATATATATATATATATATATATATATATATATATGTATATATATGTATATATTATATATATATATATATATATATATTTATTTATTTTATATATATATATATATTTATATATATATATATATATATATATATATATTGCAAAAAAAATTTAAATTTTGATTAAAAAGTTTATTTATTGGATTCATAATGTATGTGTACAAATATTTAAAAAAAGAAATATATTTATAAAAAAATACATTTATAAAAAAAAATAATAATTTATCATTATATAGATGAAGAAGGGCCTGAAATGTGGGATGATGATAAACCAGTAGGTAAAATTGGAGCAAAAAAACTAAGAAAATTGGAAATGAAAGCAGAGAATCGTGAAATAAGAAAGGTAGGGGAAATTATGTTTTAAGTGTTATTTTGTTTTTATTTTTTAGTTTTTCTTTTATTGATTGAGTAATTCCTTTTTTTACAATTCAAGCCTCTCCAGAAAATGCGTTTGGTTTTTTATTTTGTATGTCCACGTATGAGTATTTTATTTTAGACAACTTAGTCACGGCAAGTGTTATTATAATAAGCATTAGGGAAAAAACTAAGTTTAAAAAAAGAAGAAAGCTTAACTCTTAAAATATAAAATTAAAATAAATTTAAATCAAAAAAATTAATAATAATAATTTAAATAATTTGTGTTCTGTTTTTATTTTTGTTTCTTTAGGGTGGTTATTATTTTCAGCAACAAAATTTGATAAGGCAAAGCAAAAAAAAAAAAAAAACAGTTTTAAGTTGACATTAAAAATAATGATTTTCCTATATTTCATTTTTTTTTTTAAAGTGGAAAGTGAAAATATAAATTACTATCTGTTTGTAAAATATTTTCTATAATTTTAGGTAATATAGTATATATATTACCTAATGTCTATGAATGCATGTGCATATTTTTATGCATAACCTTTTTCTATATAATTATATTTATTTATTCATTAGTATACGCACGTTTAGCTTATTTAGATCAGATGTTAACTTCTTACACGGTTCGTATCCTACCGCTAATCATTTAATTATTGTTTTTCTTTTAAGTACTGCTGGTCATATATTTCTTTGTAACCATTTATCTTTTCTTTTTTGTATATAAAAATCTTCCAGCTGTATGTTTTTGAATGATATACATCTCTTCACAATCAGATTTCTTACACCATTCAAGCCTCTCAGTGTATTTTCTGAGTAAGGCGCACATACATATATACATAGTTTTTAAGCTTTAAACAGCCCATATTGTCTAGACATTTTTCATAGCTTTAATTCTTTCATATTACTTTTTTTTGTATGTTTTTTATCCCCAATCATTTAGTTGTTTGTAATTTTGGATATTTGTTGCTTTTTAACATTTGGCTCTGTCGGCTTAGTTCTATCCAACTTATCCCTTTTGATCTACTATATTATTGGTAAAATATACATAAACAATTATTATTAGTACTTAACAAGAATTGTTATGGAATTAATTTTACTATTATTATTATTAATTTGTTTTCGTATTTTCATAAATAACATAATAGACCAAAAAAAAGGGCAGGTAAAAAAGCAAAAAATTTGGAAAGTTGTGGAATTTGAAAAAAGTTTGAAAAGTCATGGAAGGCGTTTACTTCATACACGGACATTCCGTGTATGAAGTAAATGCCTTTTCTAAATAAGATATACATGGGTATACTAAAAAACAAATAAATATATTTGTATAATAAAAAAAGTTATGCATAAAAATATGTGTATGCATTATATAGATGTAAAGGGGCAGTATATACTTGTTACATTAAATTTATTCAAATTTATTTTACAAGCAGATAGCCATTTTCCCTTTCTTATTTCAAAAAAACAAAATAAAATATAGAAAATTTTTTTTTTAATGTCGACTTATAACTTTTTTTTTTTTTGTTTTTGTTTTGTTTTGTCTTTTTTGTTGCAATTTTGTTGCTGAAAATAACAACCACCTTAAAGAAACAAAAATAAAAACAGAACACAAGTTATTTAAAATATTATTATTTTTATTTTTTTTGATTTAAATTTATTTTAATTTCCCATTTTGTTAGTTTTGCTTTCTTTGTTTTTGAAACTTAGTTTTTTCTGTAATGTTTAATATAATAAAACCTGCAAATGGACATGACCAAGTTGTGAATAATAAAATATTCATGTGTGGACATACATAACAAAAAACTGCACACGTTTCCTGGGAAGGCTTGTAAACTGATGTTTATTAAGCAAAATTCTTTGTTTTCACTTAAAATTATTGATAAGTCTTTTAAAGTACTCATATTTAGTGTATAGCATACCATTGATAACTATTCGATTAACAATTTGACATTTTTTTGAATATTGCTTTACTTTGATAGTTTGTTAATTTTATCTTTGCAATGTTATTGCTATATTAGATAATTAAGGATATTAAGTTTTTTTTTTTTTTTTTTTTTAAACATTTTTGCTTCCAACAAGGCTGCAAGCAACAACTAATTAGTGTTGGAAGTTACTGGAAGAGAAAAGATGAAGGTTGTAGAGCAAGATAACGATTAAATATGACTTAAAAGATTGCAAATAATATGAATCAGGAAAGCAAGATGAAGGAAGCGAAATCCAAAGAACTGATGTTCGAGGAAAAAAACTAGACGAATAAGAGTTTTTCGAGCACTTAGAAACAGTAACAGAAAAAGGATGAAACTTAATTGAATGACGAGTAATGCCATACCCCAGATATGGCAACAGTATTCCATACAAGGCCAGATTTGAGATTTATAGAGATAGAGAATAGAACCCAGAGTAAGAAAGTGACAAGCTCGATAAAGAGATGCAACTTTAGCAGATGCTAATTTTCCAACGGATTTGATATAAGGTCTCCAAGAAAGATCAGAAGTGAGAGTTAATCCTAGAAGATGAAGGGTAGGAGACTCATCGAGTACATTACCGTTCATAAGTATAGGAAGGTCTAAACTATTGCGATAACGATTGGCCAAAAAAAATTGAGTTTTATCTGAATTAAAGTTCACCAGCCACCATGAGCCCCATGCTGTAGCAGAAGTGAGATCCTTTTCAAGCTCAGATGCCCCCTGCAAGCAATCTGAGGGAGTTGGCTTTTTATCGTGGCAAGAATAAATGGTAGTATCATCAGCAAACAATGCCACCTTAGATGTGAGAATATCTGGAAGATCGTTAATGTAAATTAAAAAGAGTATAGGGCCAAGGATTGAACCTTGAGGAACCCCTGAGGTTACAGAATAAGAAAAAGAGTGTTGTCCATCAAGATGTTTCCAGATACACCGTGAGAAGAAAGTTTATGGAGAAGACCAGCATGCCAAACTTTATCAAAAGCTTTAGAAATGTCAAGAGCAATGGCCTTAACCTCTCCACCTTTTTCTAATGCGCGATAAAACCTATCGGTTATTACTGATAGCAAATCAGCCATAGAACGAGAAGATCAAAATCCATATTGATGATCAGAAAGTAGGTTATGAGATTCGAAATGAGAGATTAAGTGTTTGTTAATTAAAGATTCAAAAACCTTGCTTATGATAGATAGAAGACTAATGGGACGGTAGTTAAACGAATCGGATCGCTCTCCAGAATTTTTAAAAATAGGGATAACAGCTGCTTTCCAGCAGGCTGGAAAACAAGACTCTGATAAGCACTTGTTAAATAGTTTTGAAAGGATAGACGACAGCTCCAGAGAACACTTCTGCAAGACTATAACAGGTATGTTGTCCGGGCCGCAAGCTGTAGAAAAGTCTAAGCGGGAAATCACTTTAGATACAGAAGCTGGCGTAATACGAATGTCGAGCAATGGATCAACCTGTTTGACGGCTATATCAGGTAGAACGCAACTAGTGGCATCAAGAGATGATATTGATGAAAATTTCTTGGCAAACAATTCAGCTTTGTCTTTAGGTGAGGTGACAAAGTCTGAACCATACAAAAGAGGTGGAATTACAGACTTGCCCTTATTATTGATACTATTAAAGATTCTCCAGAAGTCACGAGAGCCTAATTTTTGTGATGAAATACGAGGTTTCATGATCTGAAAATAGCGGGCTTTGGCATTAGACAAAACCTTTTTACAATGGTTCCTAGCAGTAATAAACAGACGTCTGTTTTCTAGAGAATTGTTTTGCTGATAGATATGGAAGTAATGGTTTCGATTAGCAATTGCAGTAGCACAATGTGAGGAAAACCATGGAGAAGAGTGAGGCTTGACCTTGAATCATCGAGAGGGAATAAAGGATTTCATGTCAGCCTGAATCCACGAAGTTATGTAAGAAGCGCATTTGTCAACAGGGAGACAAAAGATTTCTACCCAGGGGCCATCACTAAGAAAATCACGGAAAGAGTCCCAGTCAGCTTTAAGGTAGTTGTAAGATGTACGATGATAGGGGGATTCTGATGGTAAAGAAGAATGAGATAATAGTTTTAGAGAGACCAAACCATGATCAGAAGCACCTAAGGGTGAGTGTGAAGAAACTGAGCACTGACTAGGATTAGAAACAAGACATAAGTCGAGTAGAGAAGGTAAATGATTCGGGTTGTCTGGGAAGCGAGTTGGAAAGTTGACTATTTGAGTTAGGGATTGAGAAAGACAAAAGTTGTGAGCCTTAATGCCTGCAGAGTCACTGACACTAGAGCCAAGCCATTCAGTGTATAATAATTCAAATAGTAGTCTGTGGATTCAAACCTAGTTTCCCGACAAATGGGTGAATTCTTACGAATGTAAATGCCTAAGCCAATCATGTGACTATTGGAGTCTTTACAAACTAAAAAAAGATAACCATCAACACTAAGATCACAAGATGAGACAGCTGAACTCAAATTAGTCTCACAAAGAGCAAGTAGGTCTGGTGAACTTTGCAAGAGATAAAACTCAACAGAAGAAAAGTTACTTTGAAAACCACGAATATTGGTGATGACTGTGGTTTTTTGTGTTTTATAGTTTTTGTTACTTTATTCATTTTTAAATTTGTTAAAGAACTTGACTCGAAACATAGATAGTACTCAGTACAGTGTCTTATAGCCCAAACAATTGCCTCATTTCCACTAATAAACCCTAAGACGTAACAAAGGGCTCCAATGTGGCCTTGGCAATGCACACCAAAAGTACAAACAGAGATACCATCCATGCGCAACATGGCACTGTTAGTACTCTGATATTTTTCAGCTGTTGATGGAATCAGCCTCTCTGAGAGCTACCACAGAGTTCGGGAAACCTGACTACCAGCCGGCCTCAGAACCATAAAACTGAGTTTTAGAGCTGTACCCTCATTTGGAGATAATAGAATGAGTTGCCTAGTCATAAAAACAGAGACAAAAGCAAAACCCATGAACTGAGTCAAGAAGATCCAGCGTTCAACATTCTAAACTGGAAACAATTTATTAAAAATACATCTGCGCCAGTCTAATAGATGAAGAAGGGGTGCGAGGCTGGTGAACATATAGAATCTGTTTACCCCTTAAGTCTTTGCCTAGGAGGCCTTCTACAAGACAGCAGCCGGATGCATTTAACATCTGCCCAAGATGAGTATTTTTATCAAGACACCATCTCTAGCCTTTACTCAACCAAGAGCCCCAAGGCAGGGGGTGTTTTATGTTGGAGTTTGCATCTCCTAGCCTTTGCCTAAAAAGGCATATCCTACAAGGCAGCAGGACATAAGCAGATTATACTGGGTTACATGTTACCAGTAGCAGTATAAACCTGGTATATATGAATATAAGATAATTTGATAAAATAATTTTGATAAATATTGTAAGTCAACAAAATACACGTTTAAATTGGTTTATTTGGGACTTTTATTTACATAAATAATGTATGATACTCTAATA